CTTCTTCCACATCTTCAAATCATTGCCTCCTTCACTTCTTCCACATCTTCAAATCATTGCCTCCTTCACTTCTTCCACATCTTCAAATCATTGCCCTTTCATGTCCCTCTGCATTGACAGAAACAAAAAGAAGTCGGTCCGAGTAAGGTTGGGTGACTGGCACACTGAGAGGGCTGTGTGAGCAGGTGCATGGTCAGGGTGGCAAAACCAGTCCCCCATCTGCCTCAAATCAGGCCTTTTGTATCAGACACTGTTACACAATCTTTTCAGCACCTCTAAATAGAAAACTTGATTAACAGTCTGAACTGGTGGACTGAACTCCAAATGCACGACTGAGTTGACATTTTCATCCATTCAGGAAGTTGACAGACGTCCAGAATGAGGTTTGTCATCAATTGACATATCACCTTTTTTGAAACGAGAAAGCCACTCATACACTTGAGGTTTTCCTATAAACACTGGCCTTGGAAGCAGTGTTCAACGTCACAACAGTTTCTGGGGCATTTTCCCAAGCGGGAAACAAAATTTCACAGCCACATGCTGTTCTCATAAATCAGCCGGCACAAAAAGCAAGGTTTGAGCGAAACTGCTTTTATGAAACAATTCCCTGTGACCAGAGAGAGCATGCTGAGGCGACGCCACTGGGTGCACGAACTCAGAGTGAGCTGCTCAATGCTTGCTTAGCAGGGAAAATGCCACCTACAAAAGCTCTGCTCTTCCCAGGGCAATTCCAGTTTGGGAGGTAGGTGGGTACCCTCTTGTATGTAAGATGAAGTCCCACCATCCTTGCCTTTAAAGAGCATTCTGGCTGTACTTCTTCCAAGACAGATCAGTTTGTCTTTTCAGCAGTCCCTACGTACTTTGAATATTCTTCTCCAGCACCAAAATTCAAATGCATTGTTTCTTCTTTGTCCTTCCTTAATAAATGTCCAGCTTTCACATGCGTATGCAGCAACTGAAAATAGCTTAGGTCAGGCGCACCTTAGTCCTCAAAGTAGCATCCTTGCTTTTGCAGTACCCTCAAGAGTTCTTGTGCAGCAAAAGACTGCACCACTGAACCATAGATACCCTCTACCAGACCTAATAATGCGTCATACTGGTGATCACCTTCTCCATTTCTTGGTTGAACGAATGAGAAAATTGAAGAGTTCTACCAGAAGTTTCAGGTCCAGCCTATTGCTGTCACTCCATTTCAAACATTGGAACTGACTTCCGGCAGATACCAAGTGGACATCTTCCCCATAGCTTTCTTTCAAAGTCCCAGCCTTATCTAAAGCTAACCTCAAATCACCCTCCAAACCGCTGCCCTCTACTCTAGATGAGAGTGGTCTTTCCCTGCCCAGTCTCAAATCCACAGGGGCAGTTCTGCCATGGCTCATCGGGGTGCTGTGGGTCAACAGTGAGGGTTTGTTGTTATCCCCAGAAATGTCTGTCTCTTTTGGGAGCTCCCACAGTGGTACTAGCCATGATTCCCAGTACTTGAGTCCTTTTTTTTTTTTTTTTGCTTCCCAATAAAGGGCAGCACCTTGATGGCAGGGGCCAGGATGGTTTCTATTCTTGTAGCCTCTCCCAACCTAATAGTTTCCCAGGCAGCAGGCACTCAGTAAATCATTGTTGAACTGATTAAATCTGAGTCAAAGGGTCTCGCATCTGCTTTATTCCCACATCAGAAATTAAATTTAATGGGTTTCTATTCCAGGCAACCAACCTGATCACCAAGAAGGAACTGCTGACCATGGACCCGGACACCGAGGACCCGCAGCTTGTCTATGAGATCACGACAGGCCCCAAGCACGGCTACGTGGAGAACAAGCTTCAGCCGGGCACCGCTGCTGCTCTTTTCACCCAGGGTGGGGGCTTGAGACCTGGAGATGTGGGAAGAAGCCATTCTCATGCCATTCTCTTTCCCGGTGGCATCATTCTCAGAGTCCCTTCGACTTACCTAGCCTAAGTCACCTATTTGCAAACAAGTAGACCTTTTCAGATTGACCCATCCAACTTTTGAATTTTACTTCTCTTCATTTTTCTTTTCTTTTGTGTGTGTGCCTGTAGAGCACAGCCCTACTCTTGACACCCTGGGATCACCAAGAGTTGAAATCAACCACAGCAACTCGCAATGGTGAATGCATGGCAAAGAAAACCATGTCCTCAGCTCCAAAATCACTTTGTCCTTTGGCTAGATTTTCTGGAAGGGATCCCGTGACACTAGGTTTTCTTTCAAAAAGGATGGAAAATCTGTCCTGCGAGGTTGATTTTTCTGTGCTGTAAGGTTTAGGGAGTTTTACCACTCTTGACCAAAGAAACTTAGCCCATGAGATATAATTGGCTCAACAGAATTATTTGGTTTGATATCACATCAAATAACCTGTATTTTGTTTGTAATTTCTTTTTTTTTAAAACCCCATCAGAAGGTGGGCCAATGGGAATCAGTCATTGCAATGTTGTATCTTAAAATTCATGTTTCAGGTTTATTTTTTCTCATGTCTTCGATCTTATGCTCTCTTCTCGGACTCATTTGGCTGTGTTTTAAGGGGTGCTTTTCTCATTAGCACATGCCTTCCAAAGAATCTTCTTTAGGAAGGAATTGGAGCTGGGTGTGACCAGTTAAAGGCAGTAGGGCCAGAGCATTTCGTTATTAACTCTCTCAGGCTTGCCTTTAAATATTCTGTAGACATTTTCAGAAATGCTCCTTTGTCAAGCTCCTGAGATGGTCATTTTATCATCCCACAAGGGTCCTTTCTGTGTAAAGGCAGGTCTTTTGTTACACAGGACTATGGAATTTTATTTTAAAATCTGACAGGCATTTCTTTTTAAGACTTTGGTACTTTTTGTATTGGGAGAAATTCTATCTGGAATTCATTAGAAGAATAAATTGGGTATGTGAAGCTGTCTTGACACCCCCCCCACCCCCCCCACCCCCGAGGTAATTCACACGGGAGTCTGCTTTCCCCACAGAGGACGTGAACTTGGGGCTGATTCGATACGTGTTGCACGAGGAGAAGACCCATGAAATGATGGATAGTTTTCAGTTTCTGGTGAAAGACAGCAAACCTAATGTGGTCAGCGACAATGTCTTCCATATCCAGTGGTCCCTCATCAGTTTTAAATATACCAGGTACCAGTTGTATTTCCCATCATTCTTGAGTGATGAATTGGGCAAGAGAGGAAATAAGCAGGAAGCACCCTGGGCTCAGCTGCAGAGCTATGCTCACCTTGCTGGTGGTAGTGGTAGTGGGCATGATGGCAGCAGTAACAATAAGAATCAAAATAATAGCAGCAGTGTTTATTGACTATGCATATGCCCCACTCATAAATCATCTTGTTTAATTCTTGCAATTATGAGATGAATGTCATTCTTGTCCCAAGGCAACAAAGTCATAGAGATGGAAAAGGTTGGGCGAGCTGCCCAAGGCCACTTGGTTAATAAGCAGTAAAACCAGAATGTAAGGCCAGTGATCCGGACCCCATGCTCATAACCATGGTGCTTTACTCCTCCTAATACAAGCTCTCTTGCTTCTGTGTTCAAGATCGAGATGATCATCCAGTAGAACTGGTATGAAAAATGATATATTTCAAACTCACACCCACTGCCATCAAGTAGATTCTGGCTCTCAGGGTCCCTAGATAGGGTTACTGAGACTGTAAATCCTTATGGGAGCAAATAGCCTCCTCTTTATAAAAGTAAACACCAGCCCATAGTAACAACATCTTCACTTCAATCTGTATTCTTCTTGTGCCTACCTACTCCCCTAGCTCCTCTGCTCTCCATTGGATCATGATATCGTTCGGGGTGTGTTTGTAGTTTAATAAAGATACCCGTTTAAGATGCTTTTCTGCATCTATTTGGGGAATGAGACCGATGGAGAGATACTAATGAGGAGACGTGGGTAGACACGGCGCTGGCTTGATAGGTTTAATTACAGCCATAATTTCAACTTTCAGAGGAAGGGAATGTTTCTTTAAATCTGTATTTCAGAGACTCACCAGTCTTAATAAAACAACTCCCTCATAACTCCAGTGAAAATTGGGACTTTCCAGGGAGTAGGAGGCATAATTTCAAGTGCTTCAGAGAATAGACCCTTTTACCCTGATACGTGGAAAATCAGAGCAACAGTGTGCATCTTGAGATCTGGAGTGTTTTGTTGTAATCTTCTAGTGATATCTTCTTCAAAACTCTTCAAATGGTCACAAAAGAGACCTGAACACATTTTAAAACACTGAAATCATACCAAGTGTCTCCTCTGACCTCAAAAAGAAAGTAGAAATTAACCGAAAGAAAACTGGAGAAAACACAAATATGTGGGAGTTAAGCATCGCACTGTTAAACAGTCAACAGGTCAAGGCAGAAGTCAAGAGAGAGATGAAAATTAAATAAACTAAGTCAAAGTGATACTATTTTCTGGGCAATCCACTAATGCTTCATGGACTCATTGTGATCCAGGGCCCCAAAGTGTACACTGAGGACTGACTGCTCAGAGGTCCGTGGTCTGCCCCAGCACAGCAACAAGGCCCAGGCAAGCTCAGTACATGCTCCACTCGCCTTGACTTTTCCGAACCTATGTACTTAACATCCGTTATTAGCACAGAAAGAGCTTGTCTAGTTTGCAAACCCAGAAACAGAACCATCCCCACTGCCAGCAAGTCGAGTCTGAAATGCTACATAGGGCTTGACCTCGGGCCTTGCAGTGAGCAGTCTAATGCCCACCTACCAGCAGCACTGTGCATAGGCAATACAAATTCCCAGCAGCTAGGTAAGTTCAGCCCCGGCCTCCCCAGGGTCACAAAGCTCCTTTTATCGAAACACCTTTGCTCTTTGGTCCTAAGGACTATTTTCTTACCTCTGGCACGGTCTTGGATCATTTACACTCTTCCTGAAAAACCTGGCCCAGTCAATTCCCACCTGAGCTAAGTCATTCATTTCCCTCTGAGCAGCTTTCTTCTCTAAGAACCCATGACCTATTCCAATCATCACACCAGGGAGAGATTGTTTGTCATTCCTTCATGTCCTGAAATCAAGTTCATGGCTCCTCTGTGCTGCCCATCTTCTGACTACTCACAGCTCTTCCATAATGGGGCATGTGGCATCTGTAGCTTCTCTTCCACTTACTGTTGTGACTGTGCCCGGGGATCACATGCCCCCCATCTATAACCTGGCTTCTTAAAGGAATCAGACTCCCGTTTCCCTGAAGTGCCTTGTACCAATAACCAAACAGAAAAGGCAGGCCTTGAACAGTGTCTGCACAGGCATGGCGCAGATACTCAGGGCCTGCTTTTTGTGTGCTTCCAGCTACAATGTCAGTGAGACAGCAGGCTCAGTCAGCGTCACGGTGCAGAGGATGGGGAACCTGAATCAGTACGCCATCGTCCTGTGCCGTACCACGCAAGGCACTGCTAGCTCCAGCTCCAGAGCCAAGATCCCACCCGGGCAGCAAGACTACGTGGAGTATGCTGGCCAGGTAAGTGAGCGAGGGGCCTCCTACTCTTGAATTTGTGGGCAGGTTCTCCCAGGGATGTGACAGGGTTGTAGGCTGTGATGTTACATGTCTGTGTCATCTTGCCCCACCTCCCTTCCCCTTAGTAGCCTTCCTCAGTAATTATTGTTTACGTCCCATCGCACTTGTACTCAACACTGCACTCCAGTTTAACTCACAAATCTTGGTGGTGGTCTAACTTTGCCTTCTTTACATGCTGGTGGGTTTCTTCTTAACGAAGCCTTTAACCCCGGTACCCTAGATCTCCCTCTCCCCTTGCCTCCTTTACCTTAAGGGAGGGAAGCCACAGTGTATGGCAACCAGCTGGGGAACTCTTAGAACAGACCATGAACTGTTGATGAACTTGGAGCGATACAGTGAAAATAGTGAACGGTAGATGAATCGTACAGACAACTGACAGAGAAAATTGATGCCATTAAGCAGTAGAGTAGATAGAAAGTGGGTGGGTAGTAGTATAAATGAGAGTGTGATTGTGAATTTTCTATGATCGTGTGAGTTAAATGGCTTAGAGAGAGATCGAAGTGTACATACACACAGACACGTACAAGGAAATTTATGAGAGTGAGAACTAGATGGAACTGCCTGGTTTGTCTGAGTCTCCGAAGATTTCCTCCTTAATAGGATGCAGTCTTACCATTGTTCTGTTGATCTCTACCAAGTATCCTGCCTCAGAAATACTCAGAAATTGTTACTTTTACATTTTATTGGACTGGAAAAGAAACCATTGTTTTTTGATATGCATGTTTTTCCCATTACCGTATATATTTGAGTATAAGACAACCCGAATATCAGTCGAGGCACCTAATTTCACCACAAAAACTGCATTAAAAATGTGCTGGAAAACTCAGCTTCTCCATGAGTATATACAGTATATACAGATATGCACAGATAACATTCAAACAGATAAAGGGAAATTCCCTGTCACTTGTTCTTCTGGTGACTGTTTCTGGCCTTTGTATCTGCATTTCTTCCTATTTAGGTAACACTACCAAAGGCTTTCTGACTCTGCCCACATCTTACAGTTTCTGACTTGTAGAGAATATTTATTAAGAAGTAAGGGTAGTTCTTGGAGGCATTACAACTGGACTAAGCTAAGACCTCATGCCCAATTTAAATGAGAGAGTCTTTCAGCAAAATTATTGGATGGGGAATGTTATATGTCTTTCTTAGACAGACAAAGGCAGTATATTCTACATTTTAAATAGAGATCTGTTGAAGGTTTCATGGGGGAGAGGGATGCATATTTTGAAATATGGAGCCTAGCAAAATCTAACTTGATTAGTTGATTAGATGTGTAATAAGAATTTTCTGTTTGATGAAAATCATGTGTTTTTAGATTTGTGTGTCCCTGGAGGTTTATGACTATTTCTGCACATACTTCAACTGTCTAAGTTTGCACACAGTTGCATCCTCAGATTAGGGGAAGTCCACAGTCCTGGGCTCATTGGAGACTTTTATCTTTTTCTTCCTTTTTTTTTTTTTTTAAAAAAAACCACACACAGTAAAACCAGAATAAATTTCTTGAAGTTTCCTAAAATGATTTGTCTGCTTTATACCAGGATAAGTCTGTTCACAAATAGAGCTATCCCGTCCTAATGGCAAAAGGATTTAACTGATTATGTTAAAATTCAGCCTGTCCAGGTTTTAGTGTAAATTTCCATGAGCTCAAATTTCATGACTCAGTATTCTGAGGTTCAATGTCAATTTTGTTAAGTCTGGGGACAAATAAATGGTGCTGCTATTGATGATAACATATGTTCAATGCTTTAAAATCTATTTAGTGCTTTTATTACATATTTCCTCTTTTAATCCTCCTAATAAGTCTGTGAACTAGGAGTATTGTTACTGCTATCTAGCAGATAATGAATTTGAAGTAGTACACTTTCATAGCTTTACTCAGACACACACCAAACCAAAGCGAACACTGCCCTCAAGTCAGCTGCTGACTCATGGTGGCCCTCCCGGACAGGGTTCCCCAGACTGAATCAAAAGCCACATCTCTCTTCCAAGAGGCGGCTGGTGGTTTTGAATTGCTGACCTGGCAGTTAGCAACCCAGCACATCACCACTATGCCACCAGGGCTTCATCAGAGACATACAAAACAAAACAGAAACAAACATCAGCCATCGAGTCGAGTCTGAATCATGGCGACCCTACAGGGCAAGGTAGGGGTGCTTCTGAGATTGTAACTCTTCACAGGAGCAGAAAACCTTGTCTTTCACCCAAGGAGTGGCTGGTGACTTCACACTACAGACCTCACGGTCAGCTCCCCTCACCACTCCGGTTGCTGTATGTCACCACACTGCCACCGGCTTCCTTTCAGAGAGGGGCAACTGGAACATAACACGACAAGGACTGGAGACCTGAACTTCGCACTCCAAGTTCAGAGGTCTTTGTATTTAACGTGGCACAAATAGGAAGGAATGCTGTCCCACGCGGGTTTTTGATTTTGGTTTTTGGGTTTTGAATTGGGGGCGCTTACAGCTCGTATCACAATCCATACCTATATCCATTTTGTAAAACAGCTGTACATATGTTGTCATCATCTTTTTCAAAATATTTTCTTTCTACTTGAGCCCCTAGTGTCAGCTCCTCATTTTTCCTGCTCCCTCCCCCATGTCCCCTTGATAATTTATAAATTCTTCTTCTTCTTTTTTCCCCATCTTATACCAACTGCTGTCTCATTTCACCCACTTTTCTGCTGTTTTTTAAAAAATAGGATGTGAATAACTACTTACGTGTTTGCCCCCAGTCACCACGTAGTAGGAGATGCCTTTGCCCAGCATGCCTTAGTGCAGTCAGCCAGCCCCCGATTTACAGATGCCGAATGGGAAGATGTGGACACTTGTTCCCGTGGTACAGCAGGGAGTTGGGGCTGGAAGAAGCAACCCTTTCCAGCAGAGTTGTGTCTCTTTTCTCATGATGCTCTAGGGAAGCAAAGCAGGAGAAGCTGAAATACAGCTTACCACATCGTCATTTCCTTCACAACAGGTGCAGTTTGATGAGCGAGAGGACACCAAGTCCTGTACCATCGTCATCAATGATGACCACGTGTTTGAGAACATCGAGAGCTTCACTGTGGAGCTCAGCATGCCCGCGTA